ATTGCCAGACTCTCACATGCAGACCTCACAATAGTCCTATGAGAATACATACTATTATTTTCCCTATTTTAAAGATAAGGGGACTGAGGCAGAGAGAGGTTAAGTCATTAACAAAAGTTACAAGGCTAGTTAAAATTAGAGGCAGGATTAGAATCCAGGAAATCTGGCTCCAGAGTCTGTACTTTGAACTTCTCTGCTACCCTGCCTTTATCAGAGGCCTGCAATGATGATATTTCAGGGTAATCGTAATTCAAATGGAATGTGAGTGATAGTTGTCTCGTATTGGAAGTGTTCAGTCTGGAGCACAATTAGGCAGGGCTGTTGTAGAGGAAATAAGGATGTATATTAGTGGCCCATGGACCCTCTGCCTCAAAATCACTCAGGAGCTAATTTAAAAACATAAGTTCCAAGGTCTGAACCCAGGGGTTCTTATTCTGGGTTGAGACCCAATAATCTATATTTTTAACAAGTTCTCTAGATGATTGTGATATTCAAACTGGTTTGGAAACTCTGGACTTGGTAATCTTTTATTTCCACCATCATCTTCTAAAACAAGATAGTAAATGAAGACTTTGGGTTGGTTCAAGGAACACCTTTAGGCATTATGCCTTTAAGTTTTTTCAAGATTGTTAGCATTGTCTTTGCGTGTCAGAGAATATAATAAGTGCTAGTAAATGCATGTCAGTTTAAATATTTATGATCTCTGTTACATAACATTCTTTAATTTACAAAGATCCATCACATACTTCATCAAATTTAAACTAATCTCCATCACTAAATAGTTATTGAGCATGTACTAGTTATGAAGTATGGCAATAAAAAATATAGTGTCTCTGCTTACGGTGTTCATAGGTGAGATGGGGTAGACTGCCTAGCAGTACGGAGCAGCATGTGCTAGAGCCAGGTGAGCAGTATAGTGGTGAGGGTTACAGGGGTCCAGGAAGAGCCATCCTGTATCCGGGTATACACTGGATCCATGTGGGAGGAAGAGCCAGGCTTTGAGAGTAGGCTCAGGGAGGCTGCATGAAGAAGGGACTCCACAGCAGTAACAGCCAGGACACCGCCTGCCCCACCCCTCTCCTGGGGGGACTGTTCATCACCCAGAAGCTCCTGCATCTCAAGAGCTAGGAGAGAGCCCATTTCTTCCACTCCCGGTGTCTTCTACCCTAGCTGCCTTGATTTGGGGAGTACATACCATCCCTGCAGATGATCTACCTTACTCTTGAGACTCTCAGTTCTGTGGCCTTTTCGTCTCGAACAAGTTATCTTCTTCACTCACTTCAGCCTCACATTCCAGTTCCCAAAGTCCACCTCCAACTTTGCTGTTGGCCCAGACTGCTCCCCTCTAGAATCAGGAATCCAACCCAGCGCTCTTATTCCTGAACACCGCCTAACCAGTGATCCATCTGCTTTTTCCCTGTCCCTGCCCCTTTACCTAGAACACTTCTCTTCCATTCTCGAATTCTGTTTATCCCTCAGGACCTGTTGCACATCTCACTTTCTCAGCGAGGCTTTCTGCAATGAGGTTAGTTTCCCGTGTTGCCTGCTCCTGTAGCACCCTATACTTTCCCTTGGGCAGCATTTGGTATATTTTGTGTGTGTTTAGTCAGTGTCTGTGTCCTCTAGCAGACTGAGCTCCGTGAAGGCAGAGACCATGTCTATAGTATAGTAGGTACTTCTGAAATACATGAGAAATGTATACCTCTAGTCTAAATAGGTTCTAAACTCAGTGGTGGGCAGGGTGGGGAGGAAGGAAATGGCAGCATAAGAAATGCGGTGGTATTAGAATAAAGTGGAGTTATGGGGGTTATTTGTTTTGTTTGTTTTTGTGTTTGTTTTCCCTACAAAGAGAGCAGGCCTCTAGCTCAGAGACTTCAGCAGATGGCAGTATCTCCGAAAGTTAATAACATTGCCTTGTTTTTATTGTGTTTATGTGTACAGTTACTTTTATCCACAGATGTGATACAGACTTTTCTTCTAAAATAAATGTGTGGAAGTAAAATAATGAATTGATTTAAAGAAAAAACATAAATAATAACTTGGTACACGGATATAGCATAAAAATTATGGCAGTAGAAGGAATGCATGAAATTTGGAAAATGCCGGCTTGGATGAAGCCACAGGAACACCTCATCAAAGTCGTGGGGGACACCTGCACCCAAGTGCTCTGTTTCCTCTAGTGTCATTTTAGTTGGGTTTGGGGAGGAAATGAAAATAAGCACGTGTGTTCCATCTGTTATAACAAAGTCTGAATTTTTTTGTTTTATTCTAAATAGTGTGTTCTTAAATTTGAAAGATACAGAAAATTATTTTCATTATTCAACCATTCTTTCAAGGGCTAATGAAAATTAAATGACATTTACAGTGTGTCATAATTCAGACTTTGAGGAGTTTAATGGCAAAATACAATGATCCATTTCTTTTTATGTTATACTAGAAGCCCGATGCATGAAATTTGTGCAAAAGCAGGCTTTCCTTCCCCCGGCTGCCAGCACCAGCTTCTCTCTGGCACCTGGGACCCAGGCTTCCCTCTGGCAGCCGGCAGACACCTGGAACCCGGGCTTCCCTCTGACTGCTGGCAGGCATCTGGGACCCACCCGGGGTTGCCTTGCATCCCTGACTTTGTCCAAAAGGTGGCCCGGAAGGAGATCTGGTCTAATTAGCATATTATGTCTTTATTATTATAGACTAGAGGCCCGGCCCACAAAATTCGTGCGTGGGTACAGTCCTTAGGCCTGGCCTGTGATCAGGGCCATCTTTCCCAGCTGCCTGCAGCCAGACCCGCCCTCTGCCGCCGCCCACCTCCAGTTCCCCATTCACCATTGGGTGATCAGTGCCTGACAGCCGGGGGAAAGGAACGAGAGATCGGCTGTTCCTGCCCGCTTGCTGGCCCGGCCCCTGCCGTGGCTGGCCATCAGGCAATCGGAGCCTGCCAGCTGGGGAAAGGGACCAAGAGGTAGTCAGTGCGCCTAATAGTGACTGGTCCAGCGGTCATTCTAGTCATTCTGCCGTTAATGGTCAATTTGCATACTACCTTTTATTATATAGGCTAGAGGCCTGGTGCACAGATGGGGAGCCAGCTAGCCTGCCCTGAAGGGGACCCTGGATCGGGGTGGGGGATCCCCATTGGAGGTCAGGGTCGGCTGGGGCAAGGGGCCGTGGGGTTTGCAGGCTGGCCACGCCCCTGATCGGGGTGGGGATCCCCGCTGGGGGGGCGGGGCCGGCCTGGGCTAGGGGCCGTGGGCGGTTTGCAAGCCGGCCACACCCCCGGCTTTATCAGGAAGGACATCCAGAAGGATGTCCGGAAGATGTCCAGTCTAATTAGCATATTGCCCTTTTATTAGTATAGATGATCAAGAAGCCATCATGAAAGTGTAAAGTGGGAGGAAATGTCATTTCCAAAACTAATTATTTGGGGCTTTTGTAAAAAATAAAGGTAGGGGTTTCATCTCATATTTTATAGAAGTAAGAGTTGAAATTTTTCTTTGGGAGTCAATGATTTAAAAGAGGAATCACGTTACCAGGACAATGATCATAATCACACACACTCTTAGACTGGGATACCATTTTGCTTATTATTTGTGATATTATACTTTCCTTTCAAATTTGTTTGGTAAGCTTTCCCTGTAGCTTATATTTGCATTTCTACCAACTAGTCATTTAAAATGTCAATTTCTCCCTTCGCTAATTTTACAGACTTTGAGCTAGAAATTTGGTATGCTTACAAACTGTTAAATGTGTACTATATTTTGTCTCTTGATATTGAAGAAACTATTAAAGGAAATTATTTTGTCTAACATTCTTGCCCAAGGGTGCTATAGCCTCCCAAGTCAGTATATGTATATTTATGTATATACAGTAGTACAATTTTCTTTCTAATATTAAAAGAACTATCTCAACTGTCTCTGCATTATTTATATATATCTATGTACTTGAACTACTCAAATTTTGAGCACCATGGTTATGATTATGATATACCAGTTGATTTACATTATTGATAGAACAATAGATGGTAATGGTACAGTTTGGAAAGAAAGACTATTAAGCTAAATATTTTAGCCTTCAGTGGCTCACTGTTGCATAGAATTTGTCAGAGTGAAATAGAACCATAGCATTTCACAACTAGGAGGGTTCTTAAAAATTGTCTTATTTTATCCCTTATTTGCAGATAAGAAAACAAGCCCAGCTACTTACCAAGGTCGGACAGCTAGTTGGTAGCAAAACTAGGACCAGAATGTAGGTCTGCCATTTCCCAATTTGGTGCTCTTTCTACCATCCCTACGTGAGATTTTTAGGTGGTGGTGTCTCTATTGCATTCCCTGATGTTGGCACCAGTTATTCTAATCCATTTTTCATCTATTCATTTATAGAATATAGAGTTTCACCCCACTATGCATCTTTGTTGTTTAAACTTTATATCTGGTTTTCTTTTAGGTTGGTCTTCACTCACATGTTTAACCTTGAAGACTTCAAAATACATTTGGATCTACTACTTTTCTGGAAAACTCCAATACCAAGCAATAAATTACCCACTGTACTCTCGTTATAGTATAGAAACTTTTCAGTTCTCCAAATCTAAATAAGATTGTCTCCCCTTTTCCCATGAAGCCACATTATTGTTTATTCACTTTAGTAGTGAGTGTTACTGTACCGGCTGCTTTTGTTTTGGAAGATGGAGACTTCAACCAAATGGACCCACATAATGGAGCAAATCATAGTTCTTTCAATGTGTCATTTCCCCCAAGCTTGGAACTCTCAGCAGGCTCCCACTCAGGTGATAATGTTATCATAGCCAAAGAGGGAGCTAGTGTTTCAATCGAGTGTCTTCTCACAGTCAACCACTATGAAGATATCCATTGGTACAACTCAAAAGGACAGCATCTGGATGACAGAGGCAGAGGTAACTATGCCAGGGTATAATTAATCAAGGTTACTCATTTCCTGTTACTTCTTTCTTCTTGGTTTTATAGCATATTCAACAAGAAATCTCAAAGGTAAGGTGAATAGTTAAAACTTTTGAAAGGCCTGGAATATTATACCTATCAGAAAAAATAAATTAATTATAATTACCTAACCAGAAGAAGAAAAAATAAGGAATAGTTATAAATTTAAAAGGTGTTCATATAATGACTGTGAGCTCATTTCTTGCCTCTTGGTGAGTTGATTCCTTTTTTTGTTGAAGGTCAGCTTCATCAGGGCTGCTGCATACAGCTGTTCAGGCTATGCACTGCACAGGTCCAGGGAGACCATTCTAGACTGTAGTGTGATAGTAGAGTTTGGTGGCCCTGTGTGAATTTAGCAAGAAGAATTTTGACTGGACTTAAGTAAATTTGTCATAAATTTTTTTAAAAATTTGCTCAGAAATGAGTTACTAAAAGTGTTAGCGGAAATTCAAGGTTGTTGGTTTTGAATGATGATACATATGTGCATAAAACTTTAAGTGCCTCTGATAATTACAAGGGCATTGAGAAGGAGCTCTGTACACCCTCCTAGTTCATTTTTTTCTATTCTATACACTTAATTTACTTGAAAACAGGAAAATTTCTCTTATAATTTTTGTATCTCCATCTTAAAAATCACACAAATAATGTGACCAAGCTCTACCTTTTGACAGGTTTTTATTTGATTTTGCTGTCTGTAGACCTGTAAACACATCTTAATCAGAATACTGTTTTCTGAACTAGTGTTCTGTTAGGAAGATGTTTTTGAGGACCACATGGGTTAAAGCACCTCAAAAAGAAATCACCATGAAAAATCATTGGGATAAAGGTTAAATCCAGGATCCTCAGAAGGTACACTTTTGGAAAAGCCCCCTTATCTTTCTTGCTAGAAAGATGGTCTAATCCCTTGGACTATAAAGGATATTTGGTTATTCACATTAGAGTAGAAAACAGAAGTAGACAGTGATGTTTCCTTCTAAAGTATATGCTAAACATTTTAACCATCTACAAACTGAGTAACTGGCCACTAAGGAATTGAAGTGTTTGAATTATTAGGAAGAAGAGTGTATTTTTAACTAGCTTCTTAAGAATATAGGCCTGTTAATCAGAATCTCTAGGGTGGTGCCCAGAATGTATATATTGAACATGACTCGGGGTTCCACATTTGTACTCACTGGCCTAGACTCACTTCTTTTGGTCTGTTGGATCCTGACCAAATGCATCTGAGATTTGCATTATTCAATTAATGTGATTTGTACTGACTGACGGCATAAACAAAGCTTAGGTTAAGTTGAGACCAGCCAATTGAAATGCAGTTTTATTTTCCTATTTTGCCTTTACTTTAAAAACCATTAAACTAACATCTATCATTGATACTTTCAACAACAGCTCTAGAAAATTGTATTAAATTTTATGACTCTCAAGTGAGAGGAGTTTAAAGAGCATGCCAGTCTAGTATAAGGTTCATAAATCTTGAGCTATTATCAGCAAATGAGCTGGAGAGTTTAGATTGTGGTCAAAGCACAGTAGTTGATTATTGGAGTCTATGTAGTTCATCAGACCTTGGATTCCTGGATTAGCCTTTTCTTTTCTTTTTTTCTTTTTTTTCCTTTTTTTTTTTTATATTTTATTGATTTTTTTTACAGAGAGGAAGGGAGAGAGATAGAGAGTTAGAAACATCGATGAGAGAGAAACATCGATCAGCTGCCTCCTGCACATCCCCCACTGGGGACATGCCCGCAACCCAGGCACATGCCCCCGACCGGAATCGAACTTGGGACCCTTCAGTCCGCAGGCCGACGCTCTATCCACTGAGCCAAACCGGTTTCAGCGATTAGCCTTTTCATAGCCCAAGTTTATAAGACAAAAGCTTGAGGAATAATGACTATATTTATAGCTACATACTTTCCTCCTCTTTTTACATTGGTGAAATGATGACTCTTAAATATAACTGTAGAATTTAGATAAATTTTGATGGTAAAAAACATGGGCACAATCCAAAGTGCTTATTAATTGATGTGCCTCTAAAATAATCCAGAACCATAGAATCTCAGGGATTAAAGAGATCGTGAAGATTAGGATTCGGTTGAGGCTTAAGCAGTCATCCAGCCTCCTCTGGGACACCATCTGTAGTCATTGAGACTCACACCTACATTCCAGGTTAGGCCCTTGATCTCATCTTTGAATGACTGTCACAATTAAAGTACACAGAGTACGCTGAGAATTTACTGCAAATGTGAGAATTGTGCAGGCAGAGCCAAGTTATTAAAGGACATTGAATCAAGGTGGGTGGTCAGTGTGCTTTGCTTTTCTGTATATGTGTTTGCTAAATGAAGACACCTTCATATATGGAAGAGAAGTGACATGTTTTAGGTGAAAAACAGAAGCTCAGGCATCTTAAAGGCAACTTTATTCTTTGCAAACTGCTCATTTACCCTGACTTCTGAGACATATCTTTTGGCTTGTGCTTCAGTTACTCTTGCCAGAAAGTCAAGATATAATTAACACATCTTTTCTAACAAAAACAAATTCACATGTGGAAGGCATGCCACATTAGCCAGTTAGTAATTGAACAAATTCATTAAATTGTCTCTTGTTATATAAGCTCATTATCGAAAATAAGCAGTTAAATAAAAAGAAGAAAATCAAAATTATTCATAGCCCATCACCCAGAAATGACCATTGTTTTATATTTCTGAGGCATATTCTTATAGTGTATGAAAATGTATAGGTAGAAATTGTGATGTAGATATACATACAGGCACACCTCATTTCATTGTACTTTGCTTTATTGTGCTTCACATATGTTGCTTTTTTTTTTATTTTTCTTTTTTTTTACAAATTAAAGGTAAGACCACCAGCAAAATAATTAGGTTTTATTCCAATACTCGCTTTATTTAGGTGGTCTGGAACGGAACCTGCAATATCTCCAAGGTATACCTGCATACATAGAAACATTTTTTTAAGATTAATCATTAAGTATTATATAGACCTGTCTCCCTGAAAGGCTTATGACGTTTAGCAGTGAAAAGGTAGCTATGATAATCTTTACTATCTGGAAGGAAGACCTTGATTCCCTTTTAAGTTCTAGGCTATTTAAATTCTGACCCTGGATGTAACAGTCTGCCCTTTCTTATTGATTTGAACAAATAGCAGAACCTAATAGATGAGTTAAAATATTCTCATGAAGAAAAGGAATATTGATAATCCAGTTGGCATATTTAGTGGTAATATTCTTTATGCTGTAATGCTTTTATTTCTGTTGGGTTATTAGGTGGAAAATGGTTGGTTTCTGATAACTTCCTGAATATCACCAACGTAGCCTTTGATGACCGTGGGCTCTATACATGTTTCGTCACGTCTCCAATTCGTGCCTCCTACTCTGTCACCCTGCGTGTTATCTTCACCTCGGGAGACATGAGTGTCTACTACATGATTGTTTGTCTGATTGCCTTTACGATCACTCTCATCTTGAATGTCACACGGCTCTGCATGATGAGCAGCCATCTGCGTAAGACCGAAAAGGCTATCAATGAATTCTTCAGAACCGAAGGGGCCGAGAAACTTCAGAAGGCCTTTGAGATTGCAAAACGCATCCCCATCATCACCTCGGCTAAAACTCTGGAGCTCGCCAAAGTCACACAATTTAAGACCATGGAGTTTGCTCGTTACATAGAAGAACTGGCACGAAGCGTCCCTCTTCCACCCCTTATTCTAAACTGCAGGGCATTTGTTGAAGAGATGTTTGAGGCTGTGCGAATGGATGACCCTGATGACTTGGGAGAAAGAATTAAAGAGAGACCTGCCTTGAACGCTCAAGGTGCCATCTATGTCATTAACCCAGAGATGGGACGGAGTAATTCACCAGGAGGAGATTCAGATGATGGTTCTCTGAATGAACCAGGCCAGGAAATAGCAGTTCAGGTTTCTGTTCACCTTCAGTCAGAAACCAAAAGTATTGGTACAGATTCTCAAGACAGCAGTCATTTCAGCCCACCTGATGATATGGGATCTGCAGAGGCCAACTGTAACTACAAAGATGGGCCATATGAAAACCAGCTGTGAGCTCCCAGTTCCTACAAAAACTGCTCTTGGAATAGGGAACCTGTTTCATGCAGGACATAACATTTTTACCTAGAGATGACTGGGGTTTTCCCCTTGTTCAAATTAAGCACATCAGAACATACAGTATTGCCAAAATCTTTGTAAAAATGCAGCATTTTTCCTATCTGATATTTCTCAGTCATTTTCCTCAATCTTGAGTAGCTGATAGACATTCCGATTTAAAGGAACCTGAGAGGTAAAAGTGATGGGGAAAGTACCACCCTAAGAGTTCCATGGCTTCTCTTCTGGTCACAGTTCTTCCAGTGGTTAGGGCTGACATATATCTTGAGGCCTCAGTTTTCCTACCAATAAGATGAGGGATTTGCATTAAATAATGTGTTTCTAGCATTATCACTTTAATCCACTGAAATCTTTAGCACATCTCTAAATAAGCCTGTCTCTGGACTTTTAGTCCCTTTTTGTGGAAAGGACCAACTTGAGACTTTATTCTGTAGTTTAGATTTCTACACCAGTGCCATAGTGCATAAAAGGTATGGGTGTTTTTTTGGACATTTTGCCTTGTGGAGTATGCAATTGCATGTGCTAGGTTGAATCTTTTCAGTGTAGCTCAGGCCTGTATTGTTACACAGATATCAGGGAGCTAACTGCTCCTTAGTAAACTACTTTCCATGAGTAAATTGGTCCTTTGGGGGGATATATCACGTCTTTTTAACTTACTGAGGTGTCATTGAGCTGGCAGTGATTTCTCAAAAGTGAGCGATTTGTTTCTAAGGAATACCGTCTTCAGTGCTTTTAGAATAAGAAACAGTGTCAAATCATCTGTCTATGGTAAATCATGGATTTTGACACTTCTGTTAAGAGAATTTCTCAGGCTTTCCCTTTTTAAAAGTACTGCACTCGACAAGAGGGTTCTGTGTTTGGGATCCCATTCCCAGGGGAAACCCAGAGCTGGATTCCTCTTCAAATCTCTGTCAACCTTCCTGCCCTCTGTGGTCTTAAATATGGTGCTAGCAGTCGCATGCCTGCCTCCTTATCTTGTTTGTTTTGTTTATATTTTATTGTTGTTGAGGTTTTTATTTTTGTATACTTCAGATAAAGAATTGAGCTAGGGCTGCTTTTGTGGCCTCTCTGGGATGTACTAACCTGAAATGAGATTAGATAATGGTGTGTGATGTATTTTACTATATTAAATATATTAAATATATTAAATACATATGCATATATTGATAGATGTATATACACATACATACAAATAATCAAGACATACAGAAGAATAAAAATTATGGGTGATGCCACCTGATTCAACTGTGTAATAAACACTTAAGACACTATTTCTTGTCTGGCTGAGATCTGATATAATGGATTGTAAATACTCTTTAGAATAATTTACTTGCTATAGGAAGCTTCGTGTCACATAATTTTAAGAACTTGGCAGTGGAGCTCCATTTGGTACTTCACGTTTCTTCATTTGGCTTCTGATTATTGAAGCATTATTGAACTAGTGGGTCCTGAGGGAAATGTTCAGAGGAGGTTTTATCTGGATTTTAATTTAAGGTATCAAATGGAGAAAGGTAGGAAATCCCAAGTGTGACCAGATAGAATTCATGCCTCCCTTTGTCCGGGCTTATCGGAAATAATACCTCTGCTCTGGAGGGCACGAATGAATCCATGCGCAGTTGTATCAGATGGCTTTAGGGATGAATATGATAATACAGCCTCTTCTGTCTCTCTGACTGTTTCCATGGAAACCTTCAGAGCCAAACAAAGGCTACCAGTCATTTAGCCAAAGCTTGCCTTGGCTTATCGACCTGTATTTCTTTAAGGAGATTGCTTTCATACATTTGGCTATGAGAACAAGGCTCTGGAACATACCCTAGATTATAGAGCACTTTTCCCTTCCCAGAATTTTTCTCTTGAAAAATTAAAACTTTTCAAAATCCCTTGTTTGAGATCTGTCCCCTGAACATTTCTCATATCTTCAGATAGTACCCCAATTCTGTCCCAAAGTAGCATCTCTGGGGGCATTTCTTAGAATGTAGCTTGTCACATTAAAGAGAATGAATTTACCCCTGATGTTCCCATAATGGACATGGTATTTGGAGCCCTAAGATAGCTATTTAATGATCGAGGCCATGGAAAACAGGGCTTCGTAAAAATACAGAAAATATTGAAAAAAACTATAAGTTTAGACAATACTATAAAATAATTAAGTCCAGCTATTCCAGTGTATCCTGGATATTATTTTAGAAGCATAATGATGACTTAAGTTGGTGGCCAAAGTAACTAGTTTACTTTGAATATTCCAGGTGTCATTGATAAGAAATTAAATTAGGTCAAAATTTAATCAGAGTTGATATTTTTAAAGCTAGTTTTCAAGAGGAAGGAAATCACACTAATATTTTCTGTATCTAATGAAAAGACTCCATATATAATTAATAGTCTCATGTTATCTTGTAAAATCTTTAACCTTTTGAACTTAAACTATACTCTAAAAGTCTTTTGATAATAACTGGTGTAATTATCCTTTTGCCTCATTGGATTTTATAGTTGGTGAAAATGCCTATACTCAATAAAATGTATTTGAAATATTAATCTCATTTATAAATTTTGTCTTATATATAAGGAACTTTATTGTCTTTATGAAATAGTGGCTTTGTGAAATAAATTCTCTAAAAATAGACATATAAGCATTTTTATAGATTTTTTTTTACCAGCTGAAACCAGACAGGCATCTTTTGAGCTGATGAGCTGTGTCTATCATGATAGGTTAATTCTTAAGTCAGGCCCAGGGAGCAACTGTATTTCCTACCAACTACCTTGATATAAACATCTTGGGAATTGCTGACCTGGAATGGTTGTGAGAAGGCCCCTGGCTTCTTGGCTTCACTTATCATGTATTTTAAAGTCAAAACACACTGCTTTCCCTTCAGTCCTCCAACCTCCGTGAAGCCCTTGGTATAGTACTCTCCACGCCCTGCATATAGTCTCACCCTAGATCAGACTTTGTCTCCTGTGTCCCAGCGTGGCATGGGAGCACGGCATGCCTGTTTTCCAGAGTCCAGCCAGCCTTGTTTCCACACACCAGCAGTTACAACACAAGTGTATTATATTTCCCAAATCACCAGTAAGAGAACACAATCTCTTCTCATCTAGGCCAGTAAGGTTGAAAATGCTCAGCCTTATGCATAAACTTGTTGATTCTCAACACAGTCCATAAAAGTAAATGAGTATTATTTGGTAGTAGAGGCTTGGTGCACAAATTTATGCATGGGTGGGGTCCCTCAGCCTGGCTGGTCACCCCCCTCCACCCTGATTGGGGCCAATCTCAGGGCCAGCCGGCCCAGGGGAAGGACTGCAGGAGGTTGGCCAGCTGGCTGAGAGGAGGGACCATGGGAGGTTGGCTGGCCGAAACCGGTTTGGCTCAGTGGATAGAGCGTCGGCCTGCAGACTGAGAGGTTGGCTGGCCACAGAAGGTTGGCTGTGGAAGCGCACTAACCACCAGGGGGAAGCTTCTGTGTTGAGCATCTGCCCCCTGGTGGTCAGTGCGCATAATAGCAACCGGTCAGTCAGTTGTAATGGTCGCTTAGGCTTTTATATATATATAGATGGTTCAGATGATGTTTAAATGGTCACCATTTCAGTGAATACATTATAATTTTGTTCTTTTTTAAAGAAAAAGTCATTCTTGAGTGTAAAATATTTAATGTATTATATTTTATTTGTCTGAAATCTTCTGTAGCTTATACATTTTTATGTGTCTTGGAATTTGATGCTAATGATTTTAATTTAAGCAGGAGTAAGTTTGGATTCAAGTTGGATGCCACCGTGGCTACCCATTGTAATTTTACAAATATTTGCTAAGCATTTATGTTTTCGGTACTTTGATTCATACTTACATGGGTGACCTGCCCACAGTTACCATGAGGACAGTTAGCAGACCATCTTCGCTGGGCCCAAATGCAGCAGTTTCCCATTCTGAAGTAAGGCATTCCTGGCAAAGGCCAGTGCTTGAGCACAGACCTACCTAGGACTGGTTCATAAAGTTTGTGATGAGATTTGGCAGTTGAAAGGGGTAGCTCTGTTAGAAGCAAGCAACTGCAGCCCAATTAGGAGTGAAGGATGAGGATTGAAAAGCACAAGATCTCCGAAAACAAGCAAAGGAAATAGAGGTGTGACTCATTACTTAAATGCCACAGACTCCT